CATTGTTTGCACGAAACGTTGTGAGCGATACCACGCAAGTAATTGCCAAATGGCACTGTTTCAAATTTTGCAGTTAAAACATACAAACATCGATTTAAACGAATGTATTCTGATTTGGGTGCTCCTCGATACCAGAATCCGGAACGATATCTCATAATCTTCAATTCGTAGTGAGCTCGCTCTTGACGGAAGTGCTCAACAAGTTTGTAAACCGACGGGTGATGACAATCGACGGTCTGTTGGAAGGATCAATGCCAGGCTTCGACTGAGTTATTCGTGCGCTGGAGGTTGTTGACTACACGATCTCGAATGTTCCACGACTGCAAGGCAAACCTGGCATTTGCGCGTCTACCCCTTCTTTGCCTGCCGATACAAGTAACTTCCCAGTAGTCCACTAAAGATGCCAGAACAGGTGGAAAGCTCTCAACTGACTCGTCGAATGCAGTCGGAGCATCAGCAACTGGAACGAAGGCTAAAGCTAACAGCATCTTCAGGCATATGCGAAAATTTTCATCTTCATAGCAGGACGCTGCTAGCTAAAGGTCTTGAACCTTGCGCCACATACTCTGGCGGAGATGGAAAAAGCATCCAAAAAGTTGTGTATCCGGGAAGGCAATCGCGCAGACATTCTGACTTGCTTTCTCATAGTCCAACATTATACTTGACGGATTCAGCGACGGTTTTATTTCCTTCAGCTCTCGAAAAATTCTCTCGTAACTCTCTTCTGTTTTGTCCGGCATTTTGACGTAGACCAGAGGATAGGCAGAACCATCGATCAACGCATGAGTGGAAAAGACCTGGAAAAATGGAGCTGGTGCCACTTTGAAAATTCCATCGATGAAAGTGTTCTTGAAGGAGATTCAGGTTTACCATAGTTGCAAAAATCAAAATTCATGTTCGTCGTCTGCGCCAGAATCGAAAGTGAGAAATGTTCATTTCTTGTTGTTTATAAAAGGGATTCTGGAATGACGATATCAGCGAGAGAATTCAGTGGACCGGACAGAGGATTGCGTTGCTTCCGTTTGCGTTGAATCGACCTTTGAGAGGCGGTGTAGTCAGGTAGAATACTGGCTACCACCAACGGAACTGCCGCTCTGTTTTGCTGAATCTTTCTGTCTAGGCTTTTCAACGGTTGTCAAGGCTTTACGTCGAATTTCAACCACAACTTTGGTGGATTCGTTGCGATTGGGATTTGATGCATGATTGTGGTCTGCCACACCGACCACAACATCAGTTTCATATACTTTTATACGACCAGGACAATCATACTTTTTACATCTCCAAGAGATGCTGCCGTCAGCCATATAACTGTCCTTTCGTAGCCTGAATCCTTCATACAAAAGATGCTCATTCTGCTTCTGCGATTGCGTTCTCTCCACGGATTTTTTCCGAACTTACAAAATGGTTTGAGTTGTATCCTATACAAAACATTTGTAGACAATGAGCAAATAACTTTTAGAAAGTCCTCCTTGTAATTTTGCCTTACTTACATTTCAATCGAGTGATTCTATGGCAGAACTCAGCTTATCACTTCCGGCGGCACCTTTAGATCGCAAACAATCACTAGAGGGGTATCATAATCTTTTTACTGCGCCGTATTTTCTGCGCCATTTTGTCGGGGTACTTTGAACTGCGCCGTTCTGTCTGCCTTGTTTCGTTACGGCGCCTTCAAATTGCGATAATGCCACCGATTTACGAATTGGCGGATGCCGAACAATACTTGGATGGAATAAAAGATTAGATAAATTCAAGTACTTGTGCCTAGCTTGTCTTGACACAAGGGCCATGAAAAATAAGGGAATAATATTCTAAACGTTTCTCATTTGGTAGCCTTGCCTAGACCGTGAACGCGTTGGAGGACGATAAAAATGAGCAGGCATTTCATTGAAACTAACTTGCTTTTGAATAGGAATATGATCTTTGCCGCGGCAGAAAAGGTTCCCTAATGTGAATCAGAAGTATCATTTCTAACTGTCATGAATCAGAAATCTGGGTTACTCTGCTGGTCTCTGTTTACTTCAGATAACGAAAACAAAGCAACACCAGTGGTCGTTTTTGCCTGGATGTGATGGCTCTTTCCAGCCTCATATTCGCCGGAGGAGATGAACTGATTCGCGGATCCTCTAACAGGGTATCTTACTTATTGCTGCTGTTACGGTATCGCATTTACCCTGTTCGCTGTTCCACGATTAATGCCCTGATTGCATTCATTTTCTTCTACAGTTGTTTAGCGTTATGGTAATAAAACCTAAGTCGATAATCATCATATGTCAACATGTAATAACTATATGTTGCACTTCACATCAACTGCCATCGCTTCCATATCATTCATATGATTTGCACGCACACAGTCACATGATCTAGTTTAAAGATAATATCATCTTTAGAGCGTATCTATGCCATTAAAATATTATTCCGTTTAGCGCTATTCGGGTAAAAAATTAACTAG